CCCCCCCCCAACTTGTGAAGCCCGAAGTCAACTAAAGGCTTAATGATAACTATCAAAAAAGCCTGCCATTTGGTATAAATAAAACCCCAATGACCAAGCAAATACATTAGCATGCTAATAATAAATAAATTGGGTTGGATGGAAAACTCGTACATACCAATATCCGAGGAGATGAGATCAGTGAGAAGCCTTTCAACACTTGTAGTTAACCGTGGTCCAATATCCACAAGTCTTACAACTGGAGTTGCCAGTTCCTCTGGTCTCTGGTGAAACGCCGGCTCATTAGTAGTAATCACAGGCTCCAATGTCGTGTGTTCATGTTCAACCGGCAGTTCTGTCGATTTTTGCTGAGGATCACCCATAGTAGTAGATTCCTGCCGTTCTGCTGCGGTAATTTCTTCCGATTGTATAGCAGACTGTCTAAGTTGGAACTCCTCCGTTTTTAGTTGAAAACGCATTCTTCTTTCTTCCTCGGCGTAAACACCGACTTCGTGTCGAGCAAGGAGAACCATGTCCATGAGTTCTTGACCACAAAGAATTTGTGCAGTTGCCAAAAAGTGCCTATAGGTGCAGAGAACGCTGAAAAATGCATTGAGGGGCAATACAGTGCCCACAGCAGCACCAGACAAGCCATTGCTAGTATTATGAGTCAGCTCATTTATTGCATGTGAGCTAATGTCCTCAAGGTCCATTAGCATACCAATGGCTAGATTGTCTCCAACTACATCACTCGTCTCCTGAACACGACTTCTTTGTGTAGTAGTAGGAATTGAAGAGGAACCACCTTGAGCATATTGTCTTCGACGGTATTGACGGGGAGCACCGTTAAGAAGAGGTGAAAAGGGAGGCTGCAGAGGGTGCATGTGATTTGGTTGAGCTAGAGAGAGATACCCAGGTGTTTGACCAGAGGCCACAAAGTTACTTCGAATAAGAATAGGCGTATTAGCAAGCGCTCCAAGTCTAGCAATAGCTCCTCTACTGTTGTTTGAAAGGAGAGCCAGGTAAGCAGAATTTGGACCTCCTGAAGTATCTCTTCTCGATGCAGATGTAACATTGTACCGAAGTTGTCTAAGATTGACACTTCCACTTGAATTTGAGGCATCAGACACTCCACCACTGCCTGAACCTAAGTTTGTACCATTTGCGGTAGGAGGTAGGAAAATAAGCGGAGCTCTAGAGGGAATAGCGAGATTAGACATACGATAAATGTTTTGAAGCGAATGGGAGGCACCACGGCCAGTTGCAGCATTGGTTTCGCCCAAAAAGAAGGAGGATCCATGGCCCAAAAAATTGTATCTCGCAGAGCCTTCAGTAACAAGGTCGATAAGTCGATCCCCGGGTAAGATATCATCTCCTCCACTCACAGTTGTGAATTGGAGAACGAAACCACGGTCATTTTGACGATTCTGGATATGTGCAGTACCTCCATCAGTGTTTGCAACGTCAAAGACATGGCTCATGAGGTTGTTGATAAGATTTACATGGGGTGAGCCACCATCTGTAACAAGTGCCGTTCTCTGATTGTTCTGAAAATCGTCGTCGTCATCATCATCGTCATTGCCGTCAGTAAAGGCGCCGTCATCCTGATCCCCATCATCCCCCTCATCCTGATTCGATTCTTCGTCTCCCTCCTCATCTTCACCACCGTGGTCATCATCAACACTCCCTTGACTATGGCTCTCTTCACTTGTTAATTCATCATCGTCCCCGTCGTCTGCATGGTGGTAATTATCGACATCGTCATCATCACCATCCGTATTGTCCCCATCATGATTGCCTCTGCCACCTCCTGCATTTTCTCCAAGAGTTTGAACTCCCCCCTCGTCTGAGATGAGGATCGCGGCACTATCTTCCACCGTTGTATCACCCATTTCACTAGCATCTTCCGCTTCGGCCCAAGTGTCACCTTCTTCCGTAATATGATGATGATGATGCTGAGTAGCTGTGGAAGGCTGTCTTTGTGATGAAGTAGTCGTTGTAGGGGCGGGATGAACAGAGTCTACAGATTCCACAATTGTTGGGACAAGAGCTGAAGCGAGCGGTTGCAAGGTTTCAGCCGCTGTGTGCATCATTGCATCGGCAACTGTTGTGACAACGGAGACTTGAGGCTCAGTGTTACCCAACGCAGCATCTCCGCGACGCAAAAGCTGGCTCTCAATTTGAGTGAATGTTTCTAGCATCTTCATAATCAGGTTAAGAGCTTCGATGCCGTTAGAAACCTTGCAGTTCACTACAGCAAGCAACTTGGCCAAATCCCCAGCAACCTGGCGTTTAAAGATGTGTCGAATAATAGTGACTTGAATGGGTTGGGGGAGGTTAACTGTTCCCCTGAGGAATTGCATTAGACCAATAATATGCTGATTGTTACACATTGATTCTTCACTGTCAGTAGCTTGAGTGTAGGAGGAAGAGTTGAAAATAGTCCTCAAAGTCGACTTGAAATCAGATATTACTGATCCTTGTGTCGCCGATGAAGCAAAAAAGATCATTGACATCAGGAGAATGATAGTGGAATTGCTGTTTGCCCCACGAAGACCGTGCGTGAAAAGGTAGGTAATGAATGTTTTCATTTTGCAAAGACATTCTGCAACAGATCTGCAAGTCGTCATCAGATCCGTCAGGACATTCAAACAAATCTCCCTTTCAAATATAACTTTGTCGCTCGGCTTACTAGTCGATGCTTGAGGCTCTTCGGACTAAAATAGGCAAACAAAGGCATACATATACATACACAACCCAACGCTTTCCTGAGAGAATTTGCTAAATCATCGACCATAAAGCCACCCCCCCCCCACCACCACCGCGACCCACCCACTCCACTCCACCATAATAAAGGACTCATAAAGTATTCCAGAGACTCTCTTTCCGTTTATTAACATCGTTTGTTGTTGAAGCTATGATAAAGACCCACTAAAACAAAGCTTAATTCCGGTTCATATTTATCGATATAATCTATTATTCAGTTATTTACAACACCACGCGTAAATGACTCCAAGAAGCAAATTCGCCCATAGAAAATTTAAGGGCTAGGATTTTAATGGTGCGGATATCCCATTCAGTGGTAGAAAGCACTAGCCACATTTCGAAAGAATTCTTTAGGTACTTTCAATCCCCCCCCCTCCCTCCCTCCTCCCCATCTCCCCTCCTTCAATTAGCTCTATACATACCAGTTTTACTTCATGCAGTTGAAATAAATGATAAACCTACCACTGGTCTTGTAGTAATTCTGTCGACTAGAAATGACACGATCATTCTCTGACGGTCGTTCAACTTCTCAGGAACGTCAGGAATTGTATCAACACTAGGATTCTTCTCTATCAGATACGATCTTGGCAGACAACCATCTACAAAATTGAAGGCGTTAGAGGATTATCTGACACACCAGCTCAAAGTTATTTTGAAGGCAAATACATTTACCCTCTACGCTATCGTCAGGAATTAGGAGTTGAACATGCTCCTTGAATACCTCCAGGGCCAATTCTTCATTTCTTGCCATTAGAGGAGCCACAGCAGCAAGAGAGAAGAATAGATCTCTACAAGTCCATTGCATTAGGGTTGATGAGCCTTGGAAAATCTGTCCCACAACCTCCGACATCTTGGTTTTCAATGCCTTTCGGTTGTAAAAGAGCTGCCTGATCAAGTGAGCCAGAAAACACCTGTAGGTCAATTTCCAATTATCTGGTGGCGAGTAGTCAAAGAGAACCTTGAGAACATTTGATTTGACAATCGTCTCGGCATCATCGAAGCTTGTAGCAGCAAAGCGAAGGAGGAGACGAAGAAAGTTATCACTGCAGACGACATCCAATTTGCCTTTTGCAAAACTATTCACAATAATAGAGCACAGAGCCTTTCGCTGAGATAAGGACAACTGGTAGAGTTCTTGACCACACTCCTCGTCTTCATAGAGAATTTTCTCCTCGTATCGGGTCATCTTGCCGGTTTGTAAAGGATCATTCGGTTTTTCTTTCGGGGAGAGAAACTTGGGGAAAAGAAGAATAGGCCTACTGACACGACTATCGCTCATTTGAATCATGGGCACAAATTCCAAATATTGAGTTCTCCGTCCATTGGTGGTGCTCCGAAAGACTCCATTATGAAAAGCCTCGTCTGCCGACCGCACTTCCGTGGGATCGTATTCATGCCAGAGATTTGCACTCTCATCAAACCATGCCCAGGAATGCTGATTTTTGTAAAGGCTAACTACGCGCTTTCTAAGTCGAAGAGCAGTTAGGGAGCGTTCGTATTGGTTGATAAGAAGCGCACAGAGAGCATAAAGACGAGGAGAATAGCGATCAGCAGCTTCCGTGTCCACGGTGATGAGGATTTTGTAGAGAAGATCAGGCATTCCATGCTTACTGAAAGTTCTCACGCAAATGAATCGGCAGCGATTAAAGTAGACGGCAAGTAGATGAAGTGCAACTTCCGCATCTTTAGACAATTCAACAGAGGTCATCTGGTTTTTAAATGACTTAAACTCTCTAGAAACAATGTTGACCAACCGCTCGATACTTGAAGACTCCACATTGATCGAGACAATAACTTCAGCAACCATTTGAATAGTCTACCAAAGTAAAAGGAAGTGCAATTGATATTAATTCTACATAAAGGGAGTATTTAAGAGAGGGAGAAAGTGTACGAACCTCATCTGAGTTGAAGTGCTTGGCAATTGTGAAACAAGCCTCAAAGAGATTCTGCTTCAGATAACTGGCAAGTTTTGTGGCTTCGGCTTTGGGTATTAGAGAGAGGCGACTTTTTGAAGGTCGCATGGCTCGAATTCCTTCTAGCAACGCATTAGTGGATTCCTATAAATGAATAAAAATGAGGAGTTACGATTAGGATAAAAAACATTTTACCCGCAAATCAACCTGGTGGATCCTATAACCCCCCCCCCCTTCCACAAATACCTCAACGGAGTCAAGTAAGGAAAGCAAAAAAAAATTAACCATTCCTTTACTCCTGAAGTGAAACACTCCGGAAAATGAGCACATTAACCAACTCTGATGAGAGGACATGTTTGTCAAGTCCGTCATAGCGGTTACTCAACATCAACGATCTGTCCAATCCGCTCTCCATTTAATTAAAAGGCATTTCAGTGCTATAAAACAATTCCCAAATTAGGACAATAAAGATCAAAGGTAGTAAAACACAAATCTCTCTATACAAAGGTAACGACGGTCTAGGCTTTTAACAAATAAAAAACCCAATTTTTATTGAAACATCGACGCGATAGAAGGCGACGAAACAAAACTTCTCTCTAACATGAGAGTCTACTGATACTTTAAAGTACACCTAACTCACTGAGCGGTTGCTTGTTGTATAAAGAAGAGGGGGGGGGGGGGGGGGGAGGGGTAGGATAAGAAGCTGTGAGTAAACTAGCAAATTAGTTACTTTGAGCAATCCAATTTCTACCGCTGCGACACTTTCAAAGCTGCATTTCCACCTTTATCTACGAAAAAGAAACTTACCGAATTAAAAAAGCTTTCAAAGTCCTCCTGATCGAGGCCCATTTCAGCGATGGGATCATCTGTGGTTGGGGTTTCGGGATCATCCGAAGCGTAGATAAAAGACACATAGTTTTTGAGGATGTTAAGGAGAGACTCGACGCTCCTGAATGTGAGCTTTTCCAAGATATCACCCTCGCAAATTAGACAGAGCGGTTCAAGGAGTAACGTAAATATGTACTTGGAATACTTCGGCAAGTCGAAGGAGAATCGAGAAGTAATGGAATCAGTAGCAAGTGAAGTTAAATCCGTGAGACGATTAATATCCGCTAACATCCCCTCCAACACCTTTGAAAACGTTTCTACAAAATATGAGAAAGAAGGAATGGTGGTTATGAGGAGATGCTACTAACAGTAGTGAGTAAAGCGCGTTAAATCAACATACCTTCATCATAGCAGTCCTTGTTATTTACGAGTTTAAGGAATTCGCTGAATGACCTGAAAAAAAGACATAATTTACAGCAATGCGTTTAACACAGAAAAAAATTTTTTCTCAATGAGAAAGAGATTGAGAGAGTAAACGTGTAACCCAAAATAGACTCGATCGTTTTGGAAAGCGCTAAAAGTTGCATGACTCATTCACCAGACATTGAACAATCCCAAAAGTAGAAAAGTGCAAAGCGAAATTGTCAAATAAGTACGGACACTTGTACAACACATCTTATTCTGACTGAAAATGACAAATTTTGTACTTTGCTTGGGTATGATTAGTCGATCTAGTTAGAAAGCAAGATAGCCAGACAGTACTTGCTTCTCCGATGTGTGCAAGCATCTGGATGTTCCGAAATAACGAAATATTGGCCTGGTCTATCTTCAAAGTTTCAAACAAAAGTAATATATATATATATATATATATATATATATAGTCCAAGGGGTCTTTTGCACGTAGTTCCCAAAACGTTGCACATTTCCACATTCCCGCGAGTGCTATAGAAACTCTCATATTCCAAATAAAGCACCAAATGATATAACCCTAATTCCTCAGTCGCTTTAATCAGCGCGTAATCAGGGTTCGGTGATGTCAAGGCCACCTGTAGCAAGAAATGGCAAAAAATTCGCTACAAGATTGTGGTGGTAGAGCCTTGAGGCATCACAATAATTTACAAAAGGAAAGGAGGAAACCATGAAGCCTTAAGAAGGGAATGGGGACTTACTCAAAGATAAATTGCATACCGCCAATAAGAGCAAAAGCCCTGAGAATGATGTTGTTTGGCAAAGGGGTCGAAGAGGTCTGATCAAAGAATACGTGAGTCAGGTGGAAAGTCGAGTATTGGAGAGCATGTTGAAGACGCGGAATGGCCTGACTACTTCGAGTCTTTGAGAAAGTAGGTGGAGGTGGGGTTGGTGGTCGCCAAACAAACGTCTCGGCAATGAAGAGAGCCACTCGAGCAATAATGGCCATTTTGGGATTGCTTGTGGGACGAGTTGTGTCTGTTCCGGAGGTGGATGGTCGGGGGGAGAATTGGACGCTCGCGGGTCTACTATCACCAAAGCCGCTGGCAGGGGCGGGGGCGGGGGCGGCGTTTGTCCGACGCACTGTGGCAGCGGTGGCACCGCCGGAGTCAGAACTATTAGGATCAGAAATGATCGCTGAAGTGCAGAGACAGGTGAGAGTATTGCAGACCTCCGCCGCTGAATTAATGAAACAAGCTGCCACGCAGAGAACTCGGTGCGCATTCGTTACTGGTCCTAAATTAATAGCAAAATATGGATAAAATCATTTATTTCATCCGCCCCCCCCCCCTCCTCCCCTCCCCCTCATGCCCAGATCCATTTTGTGTTTTATTTTCACTTCACTACTTCTCTGAACTTGGCTTCCCCCCCAAGAGTGTTCTCTCTCTCTATAGCCTAACCTTCTGTGGGGAATAAATATGATCCAAATTGAATTTATACAAATACATGCTAGTTGGGGTTTGGGTAAGCGCATTTAGTAGTAAGCAAAGAATTTCAACTTGAATTGCCGTCATAGCAAAACAGCCAAAAACGTGAATCTCCAATTCAAGCGGTGCAATCTCGGTAGGATCATCGCTCCTCAGATCCAATGACTAACAAGGACTTCCGTTGAAAAATAGTCGACACCTTTAAACACAAGAGCTGCTCTGCAGGCATACCTTTTTTGGAACACCATACATAACAACCGATTCAATACGAACCATTACCAAAGATCTGCATAAATCAACAGTTATATAAAGGAACAATTTTCCCAATGATATGGACCCAAACTTCCATTTCCTTCACCAACTTATTTCCTCTCTGTTAGAGGGGTGTTCATTGGAGTTTAAAAAAATGACAAAAGCAACTGTAAGAGCTCACCGTTTGAACTGAGAGACATAGTGATGATTTTGAAGAAGCTCAGACCTTCAACACAACGTGGGAAGATATTACGAGTGTCACCAGAAGCTGACGGGTCATTGACTTGGTCTGCAGGATTAATTTCCATGTCAGTGCCACACACTGCTCCACCTTTTTGATGAGCCCCTTCGCGGATTATTGAGAGAATTACCGCAGCCTCCCAGGACACCTCCTGATACAGGTGCCTGCAAGGAGGGTAATAGATCATAAACACTTCTGCCCAGACATATCTTTTACCTCTAAATGACCTATATTATTCCCATCTCAATGCGTATTATGAAAGAGAGAATTTTTAAATCGATCAAGAAACTATTAGAGTGGAGTATATGAAGCCTACTCTTTCAGAGAACCCTCCGCTACATAGGTTATCAAGCACGTTGGTACTGAAGAGTTGGAAGTAGGGTCAACTAACAATCTTGCCTATCACCTAGAATAGTGTGCCCGTTGAGGAAAAATAGTGGATTCCTTTAGCGTCTTACTCTCTATGTTCGGAAGCTTATTTTTTACTCGTAGATATTTATCCCCCCCCCTCCCCCACCAGCACTTCGGAGGTGGCGAAGGGCATCTTGAATGAGTGCAACTCATTTGCTACCAATTCTCCTTCGTTGTTCAGAAGTAACCCCCCCCCCTCCCCGGATAAGCATTTGGTCACACGATGGGCATTGGTTTTATGATGACCTGTCTACACTATCATCACACAGTAGATGAACACGAGGGCTCTCGAGGGCATATTAAAGCAGAAACAGCATAAAAATGCCTTACTTACGATAAACTGAGACAGGGAAGTACCCAAGCTACCGCAATCACAACTAGTGGGGGAGGGAATAGTAACCCAGCTGATTTCGGGTCTTCGCTGCTCAAGTTCAGTAGAAACCATGCACAACTAAATGTCCCAAAACCTAAAGCGCATTCCCAGAACTCAAGGAAATCCCCATTTATACATGTAATAACCGCATACCACCACGCTGTAAAAATGATTTCTGTGCTTGTCTAAAGTCCCGTTGTGATGCTAAGATTTTAGTGACTCGGGTGCTGCAATAATGGCCCATAAAAACTTTTTACATCTTTTTATCTCTCACTCTCTCCGTATGTGTGTGTGTGTGTGTTTGAGATACACTTAACTTGTGATTTAGGGGTGTGCGATAGACTTACCTCCACGTGGTGCACACTGGACAACGTATACTCATACGCTAAAAATGTCTATCAACCGGTAGTTGACTTCTGACTTCAAGCTACCATCATCCCACAATATGTCATATTCGACTACTCCGACAGTACTCACCTCACCTTTTTTCTATCTTTGTGTCCGTCTCTTTTGCATCTTTGGAACACTCTTCTGTCCCCCCCCCCTCTCGACTTTTTTCACATTGATATTCCTTCCCCTCTGTGAAGCCTGAAGTCAACTAAAGGACTAATGGTAACTGCCAAAACGCCTGCCATTTGATATAAATAAATTTGTGATTTAGAAGTGTCGATGTGAAGACAGCTGCAATAACTCATTGTATAGGAAGTAAAAGATAACGGCTCGATACTTATTATATCCCATAAAAAGGTACTTTATAGGTGCACGAGACTCACCCAAGATCGCGTAAGTACTCCCTTTCAGACCAAATTTCAAGAAATGAGTTGCGCATGGAGGATTTCATGTGGACATTGAGGTAGACTACAATACAGATGATGGAGGAGAGAACAGAGAGATTGTGAAGGAATTCCATCTCCAAACTGTTTGGGTTATCTGTGTTCAAAAGCATGCTCGAGAAGTAGTCTCTGCTACCGCCAGGCAACTTTTTCTTAAGCTCCTCATAAGCCAAAGTTGCTTCCACAAGCACAATCCACAAGCGCTGTTAAGAAATCCAACATCAAAACACGGGTTAGAGATAAGAAATGATAGAATTAAAGCCTCCCAAAAAAATATTCCCTTCTGCCTTCCTAATTGAAACCTTGCCGATTATGGAAATAAATTTTATGTTACAACAAAAGAGGGAATAATGAAACTAACATCCAAGAGAGCTCGAAAAACTTCAGATGGAGGCACATGGTTGAGGAGAACCAAAACGGATTGAGCAAAGACAGCACAGGAATAGGAACTTGGGAATTCATATGGCAAACCGGTCATTATGAGAATATTTAAGACAGTTTCAATGCCTTCGCGAGAGTGCAATTGATGGTCCTCACTGAGCATATCTCTTGAAGTGGCATCCCAGTCGGGTCCCAGACCATGTAAACGTTCCATGAATTTGCACTACAAGAGACTCAGATGAGTAGTACAGCATTGATTTTATTCCAGTTATGAAATTTAAAACCTGCATAACTTACGAATCTATGCCATAACAACACTTACCAAATTTAGAATATAGTCTAAAACATTGTTGTGATTCTCAATGCTAGGATCACTGTAGAACTGATTGGCAGATTCATGTTGAGGAACAGAAGCAGATGGTTGATTGGTCGAAGACGAGGCTGATGCAGGAGGAGAAATAGCTCTACTTGATGGGGTTTGTCGTTCGTCTTGTGGAGGGTCCACATCACTGATGTTTCCATCACTACCAGAAAGAAGCATATCTTCAATTGTATCTTCCACGTCAGGAGTCACATAAGAAGGCATGTTGATAGGTCCAGTCTGAACCAAGGTCTGGTCCATGTCCCCTTCCATTTCCACATCATCGTCATCACCAACATGCATCACATCCACGTCAATCTCCATGCCTTCCCCATCTCCACCACTACCGCCGACATGATGATGATGATGGCTATGAAGTCGACGTCGACGGCGTCCGGTGGCCAATCCTGCCGACGCACCACCGGTCGATGCTGTAGTGTATATCTGAGCGCCATTGCCTCCACTTCCTGAAGTCTCTGCAGCAGTAGGAATCAGTTTAGCAGGTTCTTCGCTCATCGCAAGAATCTTTTTAAAGCCCTGCAGAGAAGAAGTGGGTAGGAATATACATATAGAATGAAAATTACCGATTTTTATAAACTCAAGTAGTTCAGCGATTTATAGAAAATAAGTTCGTCAATGCGAATAATTACCAACTTTGTGCCAAAGGTCAATATATAAGAGTCAACTCCTTTCCCCACCTTAGTACCGCCTCTAAAATCCCAAACTCTTTAGAAACGGACTTGCATAATTGTCTAACATTCTTCTCTATGTGTGTGCAGTTGGCAATTTTGAGCCACGGTTTTGATTATTTAGAACAGATGGGCTTGATACTTCAATATTTTACAAAAAATTAAATTCCTACTGAATTGTTTTCAGTAACACATAAGTTAAATGTTCAATTAACTCGTTGATCTTGATGAAAAATCATTAATAATAACATGATTAATCATCAATGGAAGAACGAGATATTGTGGTTATTATAATGCCCCATTAATCGTCCATCCTCTGGAGGCCATTTTATGCCCTCATCTTTTAACGTAAACAAGGAAATGGTGTACTTTTAACGATTAGACATGCCCAAACACGTATAGTCCAATAGGGGCTCAGGAAAATTTAACAGTCATAAAAATTTATCTAGTTTTTTTTAATTCCACATCATGTTCCCGACATTCTAAGTGAGAGGACAAAAATTTTGAAAAGAACTAGTTATCAATGGAAAACATGCGAAAAAAAACGCCTTGATCAATGAAGCATTGATGATCACTACTCGAGGACTCGTGAACCCTATTAAACTATAAATTACTTCATTGCGGATATAACAAAGTAGAAAAGGAGAAACTGTTCATGCACAACCAAGTAGGTGTCATCACTATAAAGATCAATAAAACTCATTTATAGACTATGGCGCTTATAAGAGAGTATCGTCACGCCATTTTCACCCCTCAAATTCCTTTGATACCTGCGATCAAATATGAAAAGCCGTTTCAATAGAAATCACCCACCCCCATGGGGAACAAAAACCTACTCGCTGTCTTCAAAGCTGCGTCACTACAGCAGTGTCATGGCTGTTCTGATAAAAGGAAAAGTCAGAAGGAAAGATAGCTCAGCTATACATCATTCCACTCAGTAGAGAAAGCCACTTGAAGGTTAACTTTAGACAACCGGAATAAATGAAGGGATGTAAACATAGAAATTACCTGGAGAATTGCATTATAAACCACCACGCGGAACTCGCGATGCGCTCTAATGAGTTCTTGAAAGTTCTGCGCCATCTGTATAGCCAATGCGCCGGTGGGGACATTCTGATTCGACGAGCCCAAACCGTTGAGATTGCCTTGGTTGTAGCTGGGTGGATCACGAGTACGGCGGGATCGCATCACAGCCAGGTAATCCTTGCTCACCAGCGTATCCACGTAGCGCTCGAGGATTCCACAGGATAAAACATCTTTCTTACCCGCAGCATTCAGTGTCAACGAACGCAAAATGACGGGGAGTTGAATTAGAAATTCGCGGAATGCTGGCAGAGGACTTGCCATCAATGCTTCGAGTACCTTTTCTGTCACTCCCTTCTCCTGTAACATTAAGAGTAAAGCTCTGTGGTGGTGATAGAAAGATAAAATCGAACAAGAGGGATTAAGGGGAAATGAAGAGTTGGCAGTAAATTAGGATACGAACGTTTTGCATATAGTTGAACTGGAACAAGGGTTATACACTGATGAAAAGATTACAAAAGAGAAGCATTAAGAGAAGGAAGAAGATGAGGAAGAGCTTCAGACTCCTAATTACCACGAGTGTAAATACAGTGGGCAAAAGACCGTAACGTAACTATCGTCTTTGCAAATTAAAACACTTCAAGTGATTCCTTAGTGTTTACGGAAGCTCATGAATTCAAATAACGTAGATAAAGTGAGTTCAGCAAAAAAGGATAATGTTAGAAGAGTTAGTAAGGTTTACAGTTTACCCACCTCTACTCAATTTAACCTCATTTTAGAGGTAACAAAAAGGCGTATTTTAACTAAAGTGTGATCTAAATTGGCTTGCAGAAGTCGCCGGATGGAAATGGCCCATGAATTTTGAAGAAACATGGCAAGCTTAATGACAAAATTAGACGCAATTTAAGGCCACAATATGAAAATCTCAACTAAAGTAAAATAATCCAAAGGAAGGACAACTTGTGAGTGTGAATCCAATGGCAAACAATTTCAGCAGGCATCCACATTGCGTAGTGGCCAATGGATATGTCTGCCAAAAGGTTACAAGATGGACTGCGTGATAGACTAACCTCCAAGGGGTGCACTCTGGGCAACGTATGCTCATCATACGGTAAAAAAAGTCTATAAACCGGCAGTTGACTTCCAATTTCAACCTACCAGAACACCCCACTGTATATGGTCATATTCGATTACTTTCACAGTACTCACCTTACCTTACCTTTTACTCCATCATTGTGTCTGTCTCTTTTACATCCGTGAATCACTCTTCTTTCACCCCCACCCCCGAATTCACCCCTCGACTTTTTGAGACTTCGATGTTCTTCCTCCCCTCTATGAAGACCGAAGTCAACGAAAGGACTAGTGATAACTATCAAAATGCCTGCCATTTGAAAGGGTTACAAGATAGATAACCATCGAAACGTTAATAATGATAGGAGTGGAGAACGGAATTGAATACGCGATTCTGAAATACCCACACTCTGCAAGAAGCATCCAATCTTGTTCCTTTGCTAATTTTAAAAACTACCACCAAAGCGTAGACATTATTTAATGAGAATTACAAACTGAAATTAGAATTTATTGAATTTTAACAATCAAATTGCAAAATATTGTGCAACTTAAATGATGTAATAATGCCTAACTCACCTAAAAATAGTAGAAGACACAAACCAATAAACTCAAGCAAAGCTGCATTTTTATCATTCTGTAAATAATGTGATGAAATCAACACAGACATAAAACCACAATAAAAGATTTTCTTACATTGGATCCGTATAATGTTCACGTGTACTTTTAACATGGAAATCGACATATGAAAGTGCACTCTGGCACGTCGGTCACTCTTTAACTGCGAAGAAGAAGAAGAAGCCTAATTTTCTTCATTAGAACCAGAAAAAAACTGTTCAAGAAGTGAAGTTACTGATAGAAAGAGAAATTTTGAACCATTGGTGAACCATCACAAACTGGAACATGAACAAAGGGAGTCCTGGAAACAGGGAGAGACGCAGCGGAAAGGAACGTAGATATGGATTACTATTGATAAGAAATAAACCCGTTCTAGAAACAACATCATAACATTGAAAAATTAAAATGAGAAGCAAAGTTGGCCAGAAGAGGCCAGAGAATAAGCTTGTGGGATGATTTTGTGAAGTGTTAGGGAAAGAGAATTACCTGTAGAACGGATATATTCGAGGGAAAGGCATAGATGAAAGTTGTGATGATTTCGATTGCAAAGAGAACAAGGTGAGGAGCTTGTAGGAAGGCTTTGTTGGAGTAGATTTTGTGGAGCACATTTGGCAATTGTTCAGAAACCATAACCGCAGTTATGGCATCATTCCAATTTTGCTCCGAGGAGATGCGTTTGAGAAGATTCAGGATAGACTTCATTAGACCCGAACGCTGAGTGTTTAGGATACCCAAAGGAGGTAGGGAGTCTGGGGAGTCACTCTCATTCCCAAATATTGCAGACTCCTACAAGAAGTAAAAAAATGAATCAGGAGATTCTGCAAACAAACCCCTTCAAGAGTATCGTAATAATGAGGCTATAAAATGCGGAAATAACGAATAATCTGTTTCCTCCCTCTCCGAAATGGATAAAATGATTGAGTAAATTAGGATATCTATATAAATAAAAGTATTAAAACTGTGCACGTGCCATGAAAACTTGCAGTATTTACAAATCAAACTATTCCCACAGAGATAGAGAGGGGGGGGGGGGTTTAAACTAGAGTATGCATGCAATCCGAAGTATTACATTTGCTAAAGAAATAGCCAGCCAAAATTTGCTAAGGATTAAGAGTTCAAAAATTGATTGTGAGAAAATTTACAAAAAATGAAGTGGTAGAATAAAGCTGTGCCCATGGCAACACCCCCCCACCCCCACCCTCCCTCACCAATAGCAGAAAAAGGGAATCTAATTAGTAATTGGGGCTCCTATGCAATAGTGTGCATAACTAATTAGCATGCACAGCGTTGCGCTAAGGGCTAATTTAGGGAGGGGAAGGGGGAAGCAAAGTGACCTTCGGCTAATGTTAGAGGTCAAACAAACTTACTGGTGGAGGATAGATAACCAGATCAGTCTCGTAGTCAAGACGTTCAATTAAACGTGTGAGGAGAATATGACGAATTGGCGACGTATTTGGGATTCCGGAGATGATCTGATCTGTGACTCGCACGGCTCGTGTCACGTAGCTTAGATAATCATTCCGAGGCACATGCCAGCCAATCAACTCCATCATCGAATCTAATATTCCATTTGAACTCATTGTTCGACCATTTACACCAGCTGCATCAAGAAAGGAAAATGAGGGTGATAATATGTTCTACGCCACATCTTTTAATCGACACGCCTTAGTCAAGTTGCCAAGGCAACAGAAAATAAGTTTAACATTTGAATACATGTCAGGAATAAGAATCTTACCAATGGCGATATTTTGTTCAAAGGTGGCCAGGTGGTAGAGAAAAGAGAGTAAGGCGATGGTATATTGTTGATTAGTGCTGCCACCTGAAGCATCACAAGTCCCATCCACCAAACTCTTAATCCACTTACGGATTCGCGTTGGGAGAGCACCATGAAAATTAGACATTTCAGTCGATTCAAGAATGCTGGTCATACTGAAATAAAAGCAAGACCAAAATTGAAGTGCAAATATGTCAATATTGGCGAAAAGAAAACAAAAGCACCACTTACTTCATGTTACCTCGTTGAATATTGAATATCGCTGTCATAGTCCTTAGAGCACATGCCTTAAGAGACATAGCATCACCGTCTGGTAACTGAACAACATCAACTAATTCATCCAAAAGGCCGGGATAAATTATCCTTTCGTCACAGGGAAAGGCATAACAGAGGGTTGAAATAGCCTGGAGTCGAGCTCTAATGCATTTCATTCGCTTCTCAAAGTCTGAGTAGTAAACTGAATTGCGAAGCCGGGAAAAAAGAATCATCTGTTTAGATGGAGGGATTTTGTGTGTCTGTAAAATCTCTTCCATAATTTCTGACGGGGATAATAAGGAATTGCGAAAATTATGACTGATAACTCGATTTTCAGGGATCAAAGAATTTGGAGATACATCAGTTGCATATTCAAAAGTAATCATACCAACATCTGGAGGAATCTAGAAAAAAGTTAGATGACATATGCTCTCTTACGTAATCATCTTGGCAACAGGATGCTAAAGCGAACCCTTTTTCTGCTCCGCCCCACGATTCGGCGATGGCTGATAATCGTTCATTGATTTGAGTTCGGTTAAATTCATCAAGCCGCGAAAAGTAATTGCTTCGTTTACTAAAAGTACAACAGTCAATAAAAAAAGCCAAAATTTACCTGAAATTATATGCTAGCCCAAGAACAGCTAAAAGGATATCCAAATTGCTGGTTGAGAATAGGGAAAGAATATGGCTCCAAGAACCATACAGACAACGATAGATGCTGTGTTCTATCAAATGGCTCGTAAATTCCAAAACAATAACAATATTTTGAGCAAGTTCTTCATTTCCAGCAGAGTCGACTTTTAAAGTCCAGGAACCAATCTTGGTAGTAGCATCTTCAAGAATTGCATCAAGCCTATCAAGAACATCCGACCAAAGCCCCAATTCGCATTTCCCATAATTCCACACCTTAATTTTCTGCAATTCTTTCAAAAATTCATCATCTGGAAGCGTGGCTAGGCGTTTAGCAAGTAGCTGGCATTCAGTTTGATCATAACCACACTTATTTACTAACTTCTTTCGATCGATTTTCATTGAAACTAAAAATATGATCAAATGCATGTAATAAATCAGGCCCTTAACTAATTTTATTAACAAAATATAGAGTATTTCCAGAAGGACAAAAATAACGAGCTTAAAGGCACGAACCTCCTCTCCCGTTAATTCAGGAAGAATGAAAGCGAATGATTGACTGTACCGCAGAAGTAACTGAGCAAATAAACAACTTGAGATTATATATTATACCGTAATAAAATGATTATTTAACTATAAATACCACTGAAGATTAAGTTGTTTATAATTTTGATTTTGAATTTACGTATTTTTTGCAAAGCTCTTTATTAATTAATTATTTATGATAAAAAATTCAATGCTGTCATTGAGTTTGAAAATGAAACAATCATCATTTGAACAAAAAGGGTTTAATTGGAAGGAAAGTGGTAAAATAGAAGTTATAGTTGCAGGAATTTTTTATTAACGTGGATATTTAACACACTTTGCCTGTTAACTGGACACCTGTCATATCCTAAAAGAAGGATTTTTCCTTAAAAATTATACTTCCTTAAGTTTCCTTATTTCTACCATATTAATCTCTTTAATTTGGTCAAATTCATTTGCAATATGGTTTTCGGTTGCTCCGGATTTGCTTCGATCTACCAATGTGAAACAATGCAGTATGAAATATATATTGCTGATAAAATCGGACTATATTGACAAATTGAAAATTTTCTTAGGGTAACTAAGAGTCGACAACAAGCTCCCAAGGATTTAAGAATTTCACTTTAACTCAAGCCACATTAATCCTCAAACTAGCGCAAGCATCTCTTGACAGCTTGGCGTATATTTAAAAAAATATTTTGTCATTCTCTAAGTGTTTTAACTCGCAAGATGCTGAATTTTTCCCATGCAAAGTCTTTTTCACATAATAGACCTACCTGGCGCAACTTTAAGTTGAATGAAATATCGATTACACTCTCCCCACTTTTAATTCCAATATAATCACATCTTTACTCCTATATGTTAATCAATTAAATAGAAACAGTCATCCAGAAGTTCAAATCCTGAACACATTTGTTTGTATCAAACATCTCATTCCCTTCTACGGTCTATTCCGTAGACAGAAGATATTAATCATTACCTAGCAAAAAATTGAGAGAAATATCAACGGAGGTATCCAGTGGTATCCAGCATTTGTTTAATTTAAATAGAAATAGAAGCACAGATTCCAACTATCTGGAATAGATATCGACAACGCAGCGTTACGGAAATATCCGCAAAATACTACTTTGATATATATACAAATTGATTGTTATCTGTCAAGCCTAAATGGATCTGGCGTCATGGTATTAATGTTTAATTAATTTTGCCTATGCCATTGGAATCGAAAGGAACAGGATCAAATATTTGCTATGACATAGGCCCTTGAATAAGTTTATTATCGAAATATGAAGTGCTTCATAAAAGCAGGACTGATGAAACAAACATACTGATATTCTAATTATGAATTGACAGATCACACATCAAGGTTTCAATCATCACTAATTTTGAATAAGTTCATAATATTCAAGCATGCGTGTTTTGATAAATTCTAAAATTAACGGTTTGGAAGACCAGTATTTGTGGGCAATTATTTTCGCTCTAGAAATAATGTAACACCGTTATAAAAAATTTAATTCAAAACATTCATATATATAATTAAATATGTTCATATCTGAATAGAATAAAATTTCCTTTATATCTTTCGCCATAATCAAGCACATATCTGCTATGGAAAATATAAAATGTATAGAATTATAGAAATTTCAGAATTATGTTAAGAAAATGCTACGATTATAATACCTAATAAATCCGTCGAATTAGGTTTTAGAAAAAAATGTTTTAAGCAGTATCAATAATGAAACGATGATTAAAAATATAAGCTATATTATATATATCAATTAATTTTGTTAATGAATTTATATATATTAAATATACTGCGCAAATCTTAAATTCGCATACTCAGCAACGCGATCGTTCATGCTCGTGCGTAGTGATTTGTTCTTTCAATAGATAGCAATCTCTAGATCTTTGTAACTTAACTAGTTTCGTTTGAAATATGGTTTAATGAGCGATATAATACATTTTTAAAAACCACGGTGACATAATGAATCGCACGTATCTTTTATAATGATGCTTATGTGATTATCAAAGATTTCGACCTTTATTGCTCATTTTAGTTTTGTTTCTTCTCGTATTTTAGCATGGAAACTCTAGGCGGTTCACCTCAATTAACTTTCGATGAATTTGGGAGGCCTTTTATAATCCTTAGGGATCAAGAAAAGAAGAAGCGTCTAACTGGCATTCAAGCTCATAAGGTGTTATTTCTTATATGTATTCATTTCTGTAGTCACACATACTGGCAGCAAAGTCTGTCGCTTCCACCCTTCAAACTTCTCTTGGTCCAAAAGGTCTCGACAAGTTACTTGTGAGTCCCGATGGTGACATAACTGTCACTAATGATGGAAGAACCATTCTTGAAAAGATGGACGTCCAGCACGAAATCGCAAAATTATTGGTTCAATTGAGTCGATCCCAAGATGACGAAATTGGTGATGGTACTACCGGTGTTGTCGTTCTTGCCGGCGCTCTCTTAGAACAGGCCGAGTTTTTGCTGGACCGTGGTATCCACCCTATCCGTATTGCTGATGGTTATGAATTGGCTGCTAAGATTTGCATGGGTGTCTTGGATAAAATCAGTGAGGATTTTAATTTCTCCCTAGATGATCGTGAGCCCCTTGTTAAGACTGCAATGACTGCTCTTGGATCCAAGATGTAAGATTTTAGCTTTAATTTTCTAAATCTTCCATCTAGTGTGAGTCGTTGCCAACGCCTATTCGCAGAAATGGCCGTTGATGCCGTCCTATCCGTCGCTGATATCAAGCGGAAAGATGTAGATTTCGAGTTAATTAAAATCGACGGCAAAGTTGGTGGCCGTCTTGAAGATTCTATTCTTGTCAAGGGAGTAGTTGTTAATAAGGACTTTTCCCATCCTCAAATGCCGAAAGAGGTTAAGGACGCTAAAATGGCCATTTTGACTTGTCCCTTCGAACCACCGAAGCCAAAAACGAAACACAATCTCTTTGTTGAAAGTGTTGAAGATTATCAAAAGCTTCGCCAGTACGAACAGGACAAGTTTGTTGAGATGGTTGAGACGTAAGTGTTTACACTAATTTGTCCTATACTATTCCTATGGCCCTTTCACATGTCTTATTTTCAGTGTTAAGAAGACTGGAGCAAACTTGGTGATTTGCCAATGGGGCTTTGATGACGAGGCTAATCACTTGCTTCTCTCTCACAAGCTTCCCGCTGTTCGATGGGTTGGTGGTGGTGAAATTGAGCTCATTGCCATCGCTACTGGTGGACGAATTGTTCCTCGTTTTGAAGAGCTCACTCCAGAAAAACTTGGTCATGCTGGTATCGTTCGCAGTGTTCCATTCGGAACAGCTAAGGATAGTATGCTGATCATTGAAGATTGCCATAACTCGAAGGCTGTTACTTGCTTCATTCGTGGATCGTCCCAGATGATTGTCGAGGAAGCTAAGCGTTCACTTCATGATGCTCTTTGTGTGGTTCGCAACTTGGTCCGCGACCCCCGTGTAGTAGCCGGAGGTGGGGCTTGTGAAATCGCCTGTGCTATTCGTGTTGCTGAGGAGGCCGAAAAGATTTCCACGATTGAACAATATGCCATGCGTGCCTTTGCTGACGCTCTAGAAGCCATTCCCGTTGCTCTCTCAGAGAACTCGGGTCTTCCTTCCATTGAAACAGTCGCTTATGTCAAGGGACGTCAAGTACAGGAAAAGAACCCCAATTTGGGTATCGATTGCCTCAACGTAGGTACCTGTGACATGAAGGAGCAGAATGTCTTGGAGACGCTCACTTCGAAGCGGGCCCAGATCATGCTTGCTGTGCAGTTATGCAAGATGATTTTGAAAATCGATGATATTCGAACCTCTGCCGATGAAATGTAAACCGCCGTTATTCACTTCTTTACCGTGTTTGCTAAGTTAAAATAATAATATGCATTTAATGTTGCAAAATGTACATCTTTATTGGTTATTTAGAAAACGCAAGATTGAACCGTTTAGTTGGAAGTGTGTGGTCAGGATAGCAGCTATCAAATTTGTGGTTAAAAATAAAGTTTATGTAGGAAGTGGATTTTCCGAATGGTTTTATCAATTTTACTTTATGAGCAGCCATAGATGAGTTGTAGCTAACTAAGTAGCACAATTCGACAGCAAAGCAGCCTCAGGAGTTCGAACGAATCAGGTTGACAATAAGCTAAAGGCATTCCGATATGAGAAGTTCCGGGGTTGTGAAGGCCTGCATTTTATTTGACTAGTGGAGAGGAATAAATAAGGGGAAAAAATTGAGATGAAGGGGAACGAGTGATACCGGCGCGAGTGCAGAAATTGAGCAATAGATAATTAAACTGGCAACTATAATGGCTCGGAGCTTTGAATCAACTTGTGTGAGGTTGAGAAAATGCTGGGAAATTATAAATTTCTGTCAGAGTATATGCGCTTTGCGTGGGAATCGCTGGTATCATGCGTGTTTCCAGCACAGTCATTGTTTAAAGTAGCGCATGACGAGCCTTTTTGGGTTGTTTGGGTTGGCGATAACGTGAGAAGGGAAGAGAAGGTCAACATTTGATCTTCAACGACTTTCATCCCAAGTATGACATGAAAACTGGTATTACCAAAAAGAGGCGAAACGTCGTTGAGTAGTGAGGAAGAGCAGGTGTTTCTCAACATTCAACTCGGGCAGATGACTAGTTAGCTGAGACTTTGATAATAAAGTAATATTTTGCTACCAGGGGGTGTGCGATAGACTCACCTCCACGTGGTGCACACTGGGCAACGTATACTCATACGGGAAAAATGTCTATCAACCGGTAGTTGACTTCTGACTTCAAGCTACCATGGTCCCAATGTATGTCATATTCGACCACTTTCACAGTACTCACCTTACCTTAACATTTCTCTGCCTTTGTGTCTGTCTGTCTGTCTCTTTCACATCTGTGAATCACTCTTCAGTTACCCTCTCGACTTTTTCTCATTTCGATGTTCCTCCTCCTCTCTATGAAGCACGAAGTCAGCTAGAGGGTTAATGATAACTATCAAAAAACGCCTGCCATTTGCAATAAATAAGAAATTTGCTACCATTTTCAACCACTCTTTTATATTCTATTTCCCCTCTGTGAAGCCAGTCCTTAGTTAACTTTTGCGTAGATATCAGGACGTACAATGAAAGTGCTTTTGTCTTTTCAAGATCACCACTTATACATCAGAAGATTTAAATTGTTTTTTCAATTTGGATAATGACTTAGTCTCGCGCGCTGGTGATGGGCTTATAAAATGCAGGGCTGAGTCTTTCATTTTGCTACAATTTGGGATGAGGAAAGAGGTGGGGTGGGGGGGGGGTTATTATTAAATTAGTTTCTTCCAGGTACCTAAGTAGGTTTATTCAGCGTCTTCATGAATAAACCGTACAACTATCAAATAGGTTTCCGCTGTATTAGGAAACGAACCATAATTTCTGTTGAGGAAATTTGTGTGGGAAGTGAATTTTCCGTGATCTTTGTCTATAGGACTCGTTCTTCTTACATTTGGTTAATACTTGAAATTGGATGAGGAGGTCTGAACTTTTTGAAGATCGGGTTGTTTATGACTCCAATATTGGTCCTCGGTGTTGGATGGACTACCACCTCAGGGCCATTCCCTGCCCTACAATTTCTTTTACCACTTCCCAATGTGCATCGTGCTATTGTTCTACCATGCAGTTTTAAAGAATCGACATCTATCACAGCATCTTGCCAATACTCAAGGTTTCGATTTGCGAGAAGATGGTTGACTTCGCGTTTCATGAAGGAGTTTCACTGTTCTCTCCAATTTGATGAGACCACGTTTGGAGATGTAAATCCCGATTAATTCCCTATCAAATACCCACTACTGAGACAAAAGGTCGCCAATTAAATAATCAGTACCCATGTTTTTCGTATGCCTTTGTTTGTATACAGTTAAACCACTGAGTGCATCATTTGAAACGGATTTTAAATGCTAAAAGGGCAATAACTTAACACCTTAGAAAAACGTTCCAGTTATTGATATTAAAGATCAGAAGATTTTTAAAGATCTTGAAGTTATTAATAATTTGTATGCTCAGATACGCTCTTGAAATATTGCCAATGTTTGTCTTGTAAATATGGGAATTATTTATTACTATTTTGACCTTGCTGTTGATAATTTAAATAGTAGAAGTTGCTCCGCAGAGATTGAGGCCATTTGAGATTTTTATTTAATTATTAATTTCAATTGGCAGGCGATATGATAGTTATCATTTGCCCTTTAGCTGACTTCAGGCTTCACGGAGAAGAGGAAAAACATCAAAGTGACAAATATTTGAGAGGGGGGGGGACATAAGAGTGTTTCAATGATGTAAAAGGGACAGACACAAAGTTAGGAAAAAGGTAAGATGAGTGCTGTGGAAGGGGTCGAATTTGACATACGGTAGGGTTATGGCAGTTTGAAGTGAGAAGTCATCTGCCGGTTTATGGACTTCTTTCCCGTAGAGGCAAGTTTTTCACACCCGCCCCCACCCTTTGGGCTTCTTAATTACTCCTATTTCGGCACCCCATTTCAGATTGGCAATTTGCTGTTCCTTCTCTACTAATTTCTCTTGGAGGGTGGTCGCTTAAAGAGACCGAAACTGACACTTCTTTCCCCAAAACGGAGCTCATTATCGCTAGGGAATCTCTATTAGAGAGGAGAGCAATATTAAATTAAGTAGCAGGGAAACAGCTACTTGCAATAGAGTAGGAACAAATACAGTGCGACAGGTAGACCTTTAATCTGAAACCCCAAAATATACTCGGCGGTACCAGAGGGGAAATGTGAGAAATATGAATGTTCGGGTTGCCCCCCCCCCCCCCCCCCCCCTCTGAGCCTTTTCTTGGTCGCTATTAAATCTCTTCCAAAGTGTGGATGGCAGTACTTACTTTCCGCCCACTCACAGCAAACGTCAATAAAAACTATGAGGTACTTCCATGGGATAAACACACCCCACGCTGCTCGC